TGGCTCTGTAATCAGACAGCTCTAGTGGTTCTGTTTGATGAAAGGCATCCTGGAAGATGCTTCTGGAATGAGTTTTTCCCTCTTCATCCAAACTTTATTTTCTCCTGCCTCAGGTAGGTCAAATCTGGGAGAGATTCCCTTGATAGTTTTGGGTAAATTAGGAAATGGGCTTCTACTGTTCTGCCCTTTGCGTTAGTCTCATTTACGTAGGCAGAGACTGAGCTCTATTACACTTCTCATCAAGTGCACTTTGACTTTACTGTTACTTCTGCAGTCATTTGGGGCAGTCTGGGGAACCTGCAGTGTGTTCCTTTTGCCTGCTGGCTCTTCGGAAGCAGGACTCTGGGAGCAGAGATTTCCAGGGGTCTGTTTTACTCTGGAGTCGCTCCCGTCTCTACTCCATGAGGAGGGCGCTGTGGCCTTCTAAACGCTTCTTTGCCTCCCAGTTTGTCGTGGCTTCATTTCTGCCTGGAGAAATACAGGCAGGTTCTTGGGAGTCCATTTGTGTGCGCCTGTAAAGAATGATTTCACATTTGTTTTCCCTTAGCGTGTTCAGCTGCTTAAACACATGTATGGTCATGTGTTCTCTTACATGTATGATCACTGTCCTCTCACATGTATGGTCATGTGTTCTCTTACATGTATGGTCATGTGTTCTCTTACATGTATGATCACTGTCCTCTCACATGTATGATCATGTGTTCTCTTACATGTATGGTCATGTGTTCTCTTACATGTATGATCACTGTCCTCTCACATGTATGGTCATGTGTTCTCTTACATGTATGATCACTGTCCTCTCACATGTATGGTCATGTGTTCTCTTACATGTATGATCACTGTCCTCTCACATGTATGATCATGTGTTCTCTTACATGTATGATCACTGTCCTCTCATGTATGATCATGTGTTCTCTTACATGTATGATCACTGTCCTCTCACATGTATGATCATGTGTTCTCTTACATGTATGATCACTGTCCTCTCACATGTATGATCATGTGTTCTCTTACATGTATGATCACTGTCCTCTCACATGTATGATCATGTGTTCTCTTACATGTATGATCACTGTCCTCTCACATGTATGGTCATGTGTTCTCTTACATGTATGATCACTGTCCTCTCACATGTATGGTCATGTGTTCTCTTACATGTATGATCACTGTCCTCTTACATGTATGGTCATGTGTTCTCTCACATGTATGATCACTGTCCTCTCACATGTATGGTCATGTGTTCTCTTACATGTATGATCACTGTCCTCTCGCATGTATGATCATGTGTTCTCTTACATGTATGATCACTGTCCTCTCACATGTATGATCATGTGTTCTCTTACATGTATGATCACTGTCCTCTCACATGTATGATCATGTGTTCTCTCACATGTATGATCACTGTCCTCTCACATGTATGATCATGTGTTCTCTTACACATGTATGATCACTGTCTTCTCACATGTATAATCACGTGTTCTCTCACATGTATGATCACTGTCCTCTCACATGTATGGTCATGTGTTCTCTTACATGTATGATCACTGTCCTCTCACATGTATGATCATGTGTTCTCTTACATGTATGATCACTGTCCTCTCGCATGTATGATCATGTGTTCTCTTACATGTATGATCACTGTCCTCTCACATGTATGATTATGTGTTCTCTTACATGTATGATCACTGTCTTCTCACATGTATGATCATGTGTTCTCTCACATGTATGATCACTGTCCTCTCACATGTATGGTCATGTGTTCTCTTACATGTATGATCACTGTCCTCTCATGTATGATCATGTGTTCTCTTACATGTATGATCACTGTCGTCTCACATGTATGATCACTGTCCTCTCTCACATGTATGATCGCTGTCGTCTCACATGTATGATCTCTGTCCTCTCTCACATGTATGATCGCTGTCCTCTCTCACGTATATGATCACTGTCCTCTTACATGTATGATCACTTAAATTCTCTGGGTTTTATGGGAAAACCAGTCACATTTGAATGCAATCACTGCTTCAGGGGAAGCAGTTTCAGAAAGAATTTGAGCTAAAAAAAGCTTCTTGGTATAGAATTAATGCAATTTTGTTGAATTATCTGGGTTTGCTCTGGTGGTGATGAGGATTAGACACTGAAGACCTGAATATTACGGCCTGAATTCAAAGATAAGGCAGAGAGGTTTCTGGCTGCTAAGAGTGGACCTAAGCAACAGTCATTACATGATTAACCCTGGCATGACCGGTCATGGGGTATTTCAGGGTATTCTTGAAGATTTACAAGGTTTCCAGCTCTATTCCAGTGCAGAAAACCAGAGTCAGAACTGGCTCAGAGACACATCAGCCAAAGTCATCTCCCTCTGAACGAGATCTTACGTGATGGAAGAGGAGGCACATGAGCACCACCAGCATGGTTGTAGCAGCTGTAGCTCCGAGTGCATCACATACAAGGAGGTAGAAAATGGGCCTCTCGGGCAAACAGTTACATAGCAGAATTCCTGGGCTCCAGAGCACTGAAGCCAAAAGTTTCTTGGCATTCTGACTGCATTCCTTCTCCAGGATGTGCTCAGAATAACTTGGGACTTTCTGGAGCAGAAGTGGGACAAACGTTTGAATGTAGACGGGGAAGTCTGTGCTCAGTTTAGCTGTTCAGCTGCAGCTTTGGAAGTGCATTAGGTTTCGTTCAAAGTGCTGTATGTTAGTGGGCTGTAACACTTCCCTCTGGTTCACATAATCCCCAGAGCCTGGCTTGCTTAAACAAAAGCAGATGCTGTTTGTTGTTTGCTCATCTTGAGCGTTACACTTGTGTTAGAAGAGAAGCAACGTTTTGGTACAAGTTGGCATTACAGTGTGAGTGCATTTGGCCTTTTTTGGTCCTCACTGGTCACTTTGGTTTTGGCTTAGGAAGATGGACCTCAATGGAAGCCACGGTTCCGTGCTGTGCTTTAAATTCTAAGCAGCTGTTTGTTCTAACTTCTGAGCTGTTGTTGTGGCAGCAGAGCAGTTCCAAAGTCTGTTTGATATAAAAATGTTTAACATCTCTGTCATTGTCATGATTTGTTTTTCCTGTGCCCTTGACCCGTGTTTTGCCGATGCTGCTGCTTGTTCTGATCACCCCAACAGGTTGCAGAGCCCGGGCAGACAAAGGCTTGGTTGCTGTTGTAACTAACTCCTGGGTTTAGGACAAACCCTGCAGTTTCTAATAGGGAATCTTCCTATTTGCTCCTGTTTTGTGCACGGGGGAACCATTTTGCTTTTACATCTGTTGTGGCACTGAAGCTGTTTCAGTAGCTGTTGAAGTTGCCATAAAACTTGAAGACTGAGACAAGTTCTGAATCAAAGAACTGCTTCTGCTTGGAGGCGTGAATTAGCCTGGGCAGGACAAAAATAGATTTTCCTTAGGTGGGATGAAGTGTTGCCTTTTCCAGTATTGTTTTACAAAGGTAGATAAGTGTAAATCTACATTGGCATAATTTACCAGTGTAAACACAGTAATATGACTATAGGCTCATACAGCTATCTGGAGGGATGGCATTGCAGTTAAATATTAACAGCTGTAAAAGCATACAGTTACTGGAAATGGACTGCAGAGGGAAGTCTTTGTGAGGTAGGAGCACACTGCTCCATGTGGTGGGTAGAATCCTTACAGCAGTTAATGTGCTCAGTCCTGTGTACAGCCCTTCCACTTGGGTAGCTGTGCTTCTGAATGCCCTGTGCTTACTGAACATAGCTGGTTTCTGTCATTTCCGAGGGGTACAGCCAGCATATCCTGCAGTAGGTTTTAAAATGGCTTAGGGAACTGCTAATAGAAATAATGAAAGAATTACCCAGGCTTTGATAATTGTACTTACTAAATACAACTAAGCAAAGTCCTTTGAAACTGGTCTGATGTGAAGGGGGAAGATACTGTGACATGTGTGGCTGTTTTAACTACCGAGTCAGTCTTCTTTTCAGAGGATTGAATTTTATAACAAGATTCAAGGTTTCCATGCCTAATTCTAGCCCACTAAAAACTAAAGTTTTCCAACTCAGCAATACATACTTCATTGTCAGAGCAATCATGAGATGCATGCCATCACTGGCTGCCCTGGAGTGGCTCACTGTTGCTCTGTAATGGACCTTTGTTGTGGTAGGACAAAGACTTATTGATCTATTGCCTATAAAAAGTGGCTTTGGAATATTACTTTATTGTCAGTGAAGTCTCTATGTACTTATAGTTATGTCTTTCCTTACAACACCTGCAGTACAATAAAGATCCATAGTTCCTGGTTGCAGTTGGCTCGCTGTAGCATCGCACAATGGGGGTATAAGCAATGAGCTGGAAGATGACTCCAGTTGATTAGCTATGGCTTGTAGAAGAAGGCAAATATAATAATAAACAACAAAGAACAATGCAGACATTGGAAAGCTGCCATCAGAAGGTGTGGCTATTCAGGCTGGTGTCGTTAGCTGCTCTTTCTGGACCCTTGAGAGCAGTTGGATCATCCTCAGTGTGAAGGACAACTTTATTTTGTTGCCTGAGGACTTGTTCTGGTAGATTTTGTGAGCAGCTGCTACAGGCCATGACAAGTAAATCAGTTAGTTGACTTCAGAACTGTGCAGATTTCACTGGTAGGAAACCCTCCTCATGTCTGCAGCAAAAAGTCATTGGAGGGTACAAGTATTTAAGGAAAAAAACCCAAACCACAAACCACTCCCCTAAAACACCGCCAAAAGGATGCAGAAATATGCTGGGGATGCTCATTTTTGTGCATTATATGGAGAAACCTTGGTGGTATCTGGTCCAGGTGCATCAGCAAAGGAGTGCTCCTGCAAAGTGGGGCTGGGTTTGACTGAGCTTGTTAGGTCTTTGGAAGAGTTAGCGATGTGAAGACTGCGCAGGCAGTAAACCCCTGGCTTGTTACTTGTTACTTTAGCCTCTCTTCATTAAAGAGGTTGCAGTAATTGTAAGCATAGCCCAGTCCTACCTTCTAATGAATTATTTGTTCCCTTCTGCAGGCTGGCAGCGATGGAGAGAGCATAGGAAACTGCCCCTTTTCCCAGAGGCTGTTCATGATCCTTTGGCTGAAGGGAGTGGTGTTCAGCGTCACGACAGTTGACCTGAAGAGGTAAGAAATGCTTGGTTTCTTTGACAGGCAAGAGCACGGTGTGCTCGGTGTAATAAATGTTTGTTTGTGGCTTCTAACTCTTGCGTGGCTTCTTTTTGGAGAGTAAAAAGAAAATCTGGCTTCTTGAACACCAAGAGGCAACCTCGTTGTGAAAGGTGCATGCACAGATGGTCGCTTGGTTTTGTAACCGAGGTTGTATCTGTACCCAAGAGAACGGGTCTGATTGAATGCTCTTGTTTGCCATGGTGCTCTTGGGTGAAACTAACAGACATGAAGTCTCTGAGAACAGAATCCTGCTGACTTCATGTTTAGATCCTGCAAGTAAAGACTGCTGAGTGGGTATTTGAGATCAGCCAGTCCTGGATCAAATCTCCAATGATTCTGTGATAAGTGCCATCAGTGATGTGCAGCCTACTCCCCTGTTTAAAGGTTTTGAAATAATACTGTTTATTACGCAATAAGAGCAACCACAATGTGAAACTATCCATCCAGGAGGTAAATATGAGTGAAATAAAGTGAGGTGGACTGTAAAACATTCTGCCTTTGCATAGCATAGCCAGATACGTCCTGATGCTGTGTGGCACCTACGTTGCAACTTCTCCATCAATGAAATGAATGCCTTGGTGGTTGAGAAGGGGAAATGTGAATCCAGGAGTGTTAATTCCCTGAGCTTGGGTGCGCTTTTCTTAGTGGTGTTAAAATGCTCAGTTCAGCAGGGGCCTTGTGTTTGGTTTTGGTGTGAAGCCCTGTTTTCGGAGCACTAATGGCACGTTAGTCATGGAACTCTGTGCAGAGAGGTGGGAGTGCCAGTGCTCACAAACCTTATTTCCAGAAAGCAAGCCAATGGCAATACTCCCAGCGGATCAAGTGTAATAGGTGTCAGGAGGAAATCACCCTGCCTGGCTTAACCTCTTCTCCTCCCTTGAAGGAGGAGACTTGTTTTGATGCTTTTAAATCACTGAAGTTGCTGTCTCAGTGCTGGCCACCAGCGTCAAGTGTTTCCATGTGCAGTAAGGCTGAGACCACTCGGAAGGGGAGGAAATGGCTTTTGTTAACTGGGTGCAGCGCAGAGATCTTCTCTGGCCAGTGTGGGATTTTACTGCAGATACAACTGTTGCTGCCAGTGCACATAAACCAGCTGTGTCACATCTTCCATTCAGCACTGCCTGTGGTTTGGGGAAGCCTCTGGAGTAGAACCAGAGCTTGGGTTCTGCTTGTAGCTTGGGCTTCCTTATAACAATGGTGTTATTTAACCATCTGCAGTTATTGGGGTGGTGGTGGGGGGGTTGACAAGGTTGAAAGAGATATTTTATACTTGGAAGCATTTTTACTGCTGAAACAGCTTGAGATGTACCATTAAAATGCCAAAGATGCCTGCTAGACTTGCCTTTATTTGTGTCCCTTTGGCAACTTGGAGTTAAGTTGGATGGGGAACGGGATGTAAAACTAACTTTTAGAATATAAATTGATTGCAGATGGTTAAAATCATCTTTTCTTACGCAAGGAAAGCTTTTCCCCCTCCCATTTTTTTTTTTTTTTTAAACCTGAGAGGGGAAAACACAAAATAAGTACAAAATAGGTGCTAAATGTTGCCCTCATACTCCTAATGCTGTCACAAGAAAGTGCTGTTATATTATTCAAGCCAGTCACCCCCTCTTCTTTTTGTTCCTGGTACAGACACAGACTTGTTGAGGAAAGGATAGTCACGGATGTAAGCAGCTGAATTAATTTCACTACAAACCATGCTTTTGCCTTCCAGCCCAACTTGTGCCCAGCAGTAAGGCAAGCTCTGTCTTTTGTGAGGCTTAAAAGGTCCCGGTTGGGTACAAAAGTTCACAAGTAACTTGGACACAGGAAAAACTGAGCGTGATCCCGCTGACTGTGGTTTGTGTTTTTCCTTCCATGACTGCCTCAGACATCATGCTGTGCTAACAGAAGAAGCTTTTGCAGTTCTCCGTTCCACTCCTAAGACCCAAAAATATGTGCATAGGCAAAAGGCAGTGGGACGTGCCACCCTTCCAGAGCAATGGTGTGTTTCTTCCTCTGGGTCAGTCACACAGAGGCTTAATTCTTTCCCTTTCCAGAAGCAGGGTTTCAGTGCTCAGAGACTGGACTTGTTCAGTGGACATAAACCATTTGTTGGGCTTGTAGCAACCTTCGGAGCCAGCTTGTGTTCAGTTACGTTTTGAAATCCCATTTTAAACGTCGTGGTGGTGTGGTTTTACAGTTAGGTTGACAGACAAAGATTAAGAGATTAGTCAATATTACAGCCTGCCCAGAGGCGAATGCAGCTTCAGCAGTGTAAGATGCTGCCTGGGGACTGGAGACAGCGGGGTTCATTGCTGGCATCTGTCTCCACATTACACGTGTGGCAGTACTTGCGCAATGTAAATCGCGGTAGAGCACATTGCATTTGGGGCTGGCTTTTGTCTGATCATCAAGAAATGATTTGCATGCTGAGTGCTCTTCTGGTCTGTGGCAAAGCCATGAAACGCTCATACCTTACCGCTGGTGCTAAAGAGCCTGCCCACTTCATTAGCTGGTGATAGCCAGGTATTGATTACATGGCCCTACATCAGGACACGATCGCATGCCCTGGTAACCTCAGGGGCAGGTCCCAGCTGTATGGAGCTGTTTGCAGTGTTGGTTATGGGAGTTGGGGGGGTTTGGTTGGTGGGGTTTTTGTTTTGCCTTTTAAAAAAGGTGTCCAGGTTTATCCCTGGATTAAAATCAATATTTTTAATTGCCTCCTTGTTCAGCTCTTAAGGGAAGTTATGCTCTTAGACTTATAAGGACACCCCTGTGTACTTGTGGTGCTATAAGGGCTGTGGCTTGTATGCGGTAACCCAGGGTTTGCTGATGGCAAGAGCAGGAACTGGAAGTCAAACCCTCTATTACCTTTGAGCTTCGGCTGTGGGGTGTCCCTGTGCTTTCGGGTGGCCAGGCTGGCCTGGCAGGAGGGGTTAATAAGGTGCTCTGGGATGCTTGAGATGCGCTCTGGTTCTTTGGCTCGTTCATGAGACCAGTTTGTTTCTGAAATGAAACCTTTCCTTTGACAGCATCACTGCGGATCCGGTGGGCCCGCCTCTGTTTGCTTTGAACATAACATTCCTTGTGGGGAATTTTATCTGGCCAACAGAGAAATTGGAAGGGAGCCACGATGACTTCCTGTAATTGTTGTGGGTTGCAGAGCTCTGTCGAAATGAAATGTAAAGCTACTTAGAGCATTAACCGATGACAGGCTTTTAAATCCTAAAAGTAAGAGGGCGATGGCAACTATGAGAGAGAAATAACTTCTTGGAAGCTTGAAAATGGTTAAATTCTTGTATTCACGCGACTTGTGTCACCTGGCTAAAGCAGGGGGTTTACTGTTGAGTATGAAAATCAGTTTTCTTACTGTTTCACACACACTGCCCGGTGCTCCTGTCTCCTCAGCGTGCTTTGGCACTACAAGCTGTTGCTGTTTGCCTGCTTAAAGGCTCAGCAGTGGGCAGGAGGTGAATCCTGGCTGGGGATCCTGGGTTTGTAAGGAATTGGGAGCAGCATTTCTAGAGGATAAACCCATAAACTGTGCTTGGTTAGAGTCTGAGCGCTCTCCCTGCGAGTGCTGCTTCCTCATGCTGCCAGAGTGCCTGTGGCTGTGGCTGTTAGTGGTCTGGTTTCTCTGCCCAGTCCAGCCAGGAGGGTTTCATGAACTGGAGGTCCAGCATCCACTAAACCCTGTTCCTGGGTGCTTGGTGCTGCCTCAGAAGCGTGGTCACATCGTGCAAAGAACAAACGCAGTTGAAGGGTTATGGTCTGGTGTGGACTTGTTCAAACAGTAATGAAGGGGCAGCTTTCTCTTGGCAGACTTCCTGCTGGATCAGGAAGCTTTAGGCATCGTTTTTAAACAGGATGTTTAAGCATCTGTCAGCTTGTCTAGAACCAGATTTTGTGTGCACATAGTAAATGGTTTACACATACTGCTCTGTATCAGACTTGCTTCTTTCCAGCAAAGCTCTGTGTAAAGGGGGAGGATTATCACTGATCGCAGATTATGCTATATATAAACTGTACTGCAGATCTTGGGAAGGAGAGAGCGTGTTGGTGTGCTGGGTGTATATATATCCCCCTGCTAGACAATGTTTTATCAACTTGAGAAAAAACATAGCCAGAGGTAGGAGGAAGCAGTGGGTCTTAAGCATCTGAACTGAATTGGTATCAAGTGTACATTCAACATGCTGATCAAGCTGTAAACGTGCTTTTAAAAAAGAAAACTGGTGATATGTGTGTGTATGTGTATATATATGTATGTATGTATATACAACTACAAGGATGTGCAAACCTCAGGCGGTGCTTTTGTGACTGTAGCAGTGGAAGCTGGCCGCGGATGTCCCGTGCTTACTCGTGCCTTGTGTTTCACCCCAGGAAACCAGCAGACCTTCAAAACCTGGCTCCAGGCACTCATCCGCCCTTCATCACTTACAATGGTGAAGTGAAAACGGATGTGAATAAGATTGAGGAGTTCCTGGAAGATGTTTTGGCTCCACCCAAGTAAGTGTTAAAATGATAGTTTGTCCCCTTGGAGTAGAGGGAATGTTCTCAGAGGGGTTTTCTGCACTGGTTGCGGTGTTCTTCGTCATCAGTAAACTGAAGACAGACACTGAAAGCAGCTCAGAGTTCTTGCTTGTCAAATCTTTCCTCCCTTCATTTCCCTCATCTTTATGTTAGAAACAGTTTTCTTTTGCTGGTTAATACATGATGAGCGTCATTCTGCCAGGAACGATGTGCTGTACATCTTCTTCTTTCTACGTTTTAGGTACCTAAAACTTTCACCAAAGCATCCAGAATCCAACACTGCTGGAATGGATATATTTGCCAAATTTTCTGCCTTTATAAAAAATTCCAGACCAGAAGCTAACGAAGGTAGGTTTGGGCAGATACCTGCAGCCCTTGGGTTTTCCAGTGCAGCTTTGCTGTGAAGTGTCTCAGTGACAAATCTTCCATCATGTTGAGGGGCACTGGAATCAGACCTGTGGTTTAATGCTCAAAGATTCCAACGCTTCCAAAGAGAACTTACTGTCTCCAACCACAATTCCAGCAGGGTGTGAATGGTTTGTCAGTGTCCTGGCACTGCAACTTCCCTACGCAACAGCCACTCAAAACTCTTGAACTAAGTAGAAGTGATTTTAACACCCAGAACCGAATTCCATGCCGAGTTTGCATCATGCTGCCGTGGTGGTGGTGTTGCCAAGCCTTTGCTGCAAGGCCTTTCCACACCCTTGGGTGTTTGAGGGTTCCCATTCAGAGTTCTGAGTAAAGTTCATGTTGCTTTATTCAAAGGGTTAAGACCTTTCTGCGTGGAGAGAACATAGAAGGACAGCTATCAATAACAGCAAAAGAATGCACAATTAGACCTTTAATAGTTGAGTACAAATCTTTTGACCTCGATGTAGGTGGAGGGAAGAGAGTCAGGGAATGGGAATGGTCTTCTGCTGTGCTTCGGATGGAGAGGTGTTTGTGAGCAGCTGAGAAGTAGTTTTGATTCCATGGGGTGTGCTGCCCTCTGGTGCTGGATTCCACACAGCTCCTCAGCAGCCTGTGCCTGCTCCGAGCTGGTGGGGGAGCATGAGGCATTAAACAGATTATGTGCAAATGAATATAAACCCTAGCAGAGCTTAATTCCGATTAGCTTAAGCCACTCAGGAGCAGTCTTAAGAAACAGACGTAAGCCACTTTTTAAACCAAAAATAAGCACCTGTGGACAGTTGTATTTTCAGTTGGTGCGAGCTCGTGTATAAACCAGCGTCTAAATAACCTGCATCAGAGTGATATTTCAAGGGATCTAGTTCAGTTTGGGTGTCACTGGTGAGCACGAAGGCAGCTCCGGCAGCAGTGCTGCCACAAAAACTGCACACAGGTTGAAAACCTTTCAGTGTCTCTGCTGGGTCATGCAGTGATTGGGGTTTGGGGTTCAGACCTGCTGCTAATATCAAGATCCTAAATTACAGTTGGCTTTGAAATTTGGGGTTTGGTTCTCTTTCGTGTTTTAAAAACTCTTCCTTCCTCTGCAGCCTTAGAACGTGGCCTCCTGAAAACCCTCCAGAAACTGGACGAGTATCTGAACTCTCCTCTTCCCGATGAGATAGATGAAAATAGCATGGAGGATATAACAGTTTCTACCCGCAAGTTCTTGGATGGCAATGAGATGACGCTAGCAGACTGCAACCTGCTACCCAAACTGCACATTGTCAAGGTAAATGCTTTATATGTTGTTATGTGACAATGAAGGACGAAATGTTGATGTTTATGACATTCTTGAGTCCAGCTTCAACTCTTTGTAAGCTCCTGTGTAAGCTTAACTACAGCATTAACAGTGGGTGAAATTGCACAAGATTTGGGTAATTCCCAAGGGCTTTGGGGTAGAGCAGGTGAATCCAGTGGAGGTGTGAACCAGTCATCCATCAGATGGTGATAGGCACAAGCCAAAACCTGTTTTACTGCGCTGACCAGTGTGGTTCGCAGAGGTTGCAACATGTAGAAGAATGAGGCAGAAGAAGGAAGGTGAATGTTATGTTAATGGTTGAAGTGGACATCTTCTCCTATCTGTAGAGGAAACTGCTCTATTAACAGCAAAGGAAAGGGCACAGTGTGAAATACAAGGATTGTATGTAAAAAAATGAAGTTGGAAGCCTGGAAGGAGGAAGGTGAGGTTAACTGCAGGAGGGAAGATGTGCCTGTGCAATCCTGACTGGAGTTCCTTTCACCATCTCCAGTGATCCTTGTCAGCTCTGTACTGCAGATGGAGCCACAGATTAAGTTTCTGCCTGGGTGCAGCAGTGTTTCCTTTGGGGAAAAGAGGGATAGGAACAAAGGGAGGCAGGGTGCTGCCAGGTCCAGGCCTCTCCCAGAGGAACGTGTTCTCCTGACTAGAAGTGACTGTGTACCATGTTGAAGGACAACGTAATGGGCGAGTGGCAAGGGATGGACAAGTGGTTGAAGACGAAGGATGTAAATTCATAATCTAATTCTTTTGTTCTAGGTGGTGGCCAAAAAATACCGCAACTTTGAGATTCCCAAGGAAATGACAGGGATTTGGAGATACCTGACGAATGCTTACAGCAGGGATGAATTCACCAATACCTGCCCTGGAGACAAAGAAATTGAAATAGCTTACAGTGATGTAGCCAAGAGACTCACCAAGTAAACAGCACTTGCAAAAGAGATGACTTCTTGCATATTCCATAACAAGGCTTCTAACAGACTGCTCTTTTCGTATAAGATAGCAATTTTTTTTGCATGAACTTGCAGTTATTCAAAGTTATGGTGGATAGACCAGGTACAGTAATTACCTAAAGTTTGCAGACTTAATTATAGGCTTGTTTTTCCTTACCTCCTTTCACAGCACGTATGAATATCATTAATGCAGTTATGTTAATATTGCACCGGGGTGACTCTAGGTTCTTCACTATGAAGGGTTCTCTTGCCCCTACTGCTTTCCTTTGCAGACATTTGGTCCCTGTCTACGAATTGGTTTAGGAATCTGTCTGGCTATATGGTACAAGGAGTATTTATGTATTTTGGAATTTATTGCTTTTCCAGAAGATCTACACACAATTGTCATATCTGACACATTGAACTGTACCTGCTTGTCTGTCTGTTTTCCATAGAGGAGGGAACTTGCTGCCCAAAAGAGCCACTTGCAGAATGTTTGGCAACGCTTTTTAACAAAGAAAAAAGTACTCTTGGATTTGAAATCTCAGCAGTGGTTGAGGATAAGCTCAAGTGAGCAACTCAGATTTGAACGTCTTCAAGCACGAGGGAAGTTTGAACCTAGGCTGAGTGCTGTCGCAGGAAGCTCGCGGTTCAGAGTTATTTAGTTGTGTCTTCAAGAGCTTGATGACATTAAAAAACCAAACCAAAAACTTCATTTGTTTTAAAATTGGCAGCTTACGCTTGTCCGGAAGAATGCGTTCCCCTTAAAACTGCAAGTGGCTTTCTTTTTGGTAGTTAAGGGCCTTCATTTTGTATAGGTCTTTCTGGTGATATTTACTGACAAAATCTGTGCTGTGTAACCCAAGTACCTGTAAAAGTTAGTGTTAGTTGGAAATAGCTGCTGTCTGTGGTGAATAGCAGTGCAATGATTAGTGATGGAGGCTGAACCCTGACAGCCACTAAAGTGGGGTCTTTGGGCAGCTTTGGAAAGCTGTTTCTTTCCTGAAGAAAGCTAAAGTGACCTTTAAAGATAACATTTGCCTTAAATTCTAGTATGCATTTTTTTCCTGAAAGCAACTCCATGAATTACTCTTGTAAAGCAATGGTGCGTGGAGTCCCGTCCTCTCCATGGAATCTCTCCTGATTGCTGGTCTGTGCACCTGGACTGCAATTCTGCGTGGTCATAATCATTGCACTACTATAACAGAAGCTTTTTACAGCGACACTGAGGAATAGCACTACAAGTTTTTTAAACACAATTTTCAAATCTTTCTAAAGCAGGGAGGAGTTTTCTTGTTTAGAATTGATGATTTTGATGCATGGATTAAACTGCTAGGTTATTTTTAAAAGACCATCATAAACAGCTCCAAAGAACACTAGACTTATATGCCTATTTTTTTGTAAAGATACTTTTGTATTTAACTGATTTTAGAAGCTGGAAAGTGCTATTCCTGGTAGGTTGTCATTGGAATATTTAACATTCTGCAATAACATGGAAATGCTCACATAAACACTTTTATACACTAATTTTTTTGGTAAGCACTGGCTTGATGAAAACCAGCCTGACTTTTCTAAGCGTCCCGCTTTTGCTACTTTATATACCCATGAAGTTAGTTTGTCGTAGAAGAGGTAGAGTACAAGATCCATATTTGTATACATGGCTTGTGGTGCCTTGTCTCACCTTCCTAGAGCTAGAGTTCCTATATAAAGGCAGTTAGCAGTTCTGTTACGTGTCTTTTGAAGATGACCGTAGATACACTTAGACCCTATTAGGATTTATTACAGGGGTGTTTAGGCACAGGAAGACAATTCTGCAGTGACCACCGTAGCCTTTTAATGATTACTGTGTTCTAACGTCACGTTCTCCTCCTGAATAAACATTCTCGGCCATAATAAGCCTCTGTAGGGGTTCAGTCTTTGCTACAACGTGACATCTAGAAAAGGGAATTACTTCCTTATTTGCTAAATAACGTTTTTAATGACACATTGGGGTAAAAAAACACCCAACCCTGCTCAGCCCCCATTGGTTTGGTGCTCTTTGCCATCATCTAGTTAACCTTTAAAACCAAGAACATAGGAAGCAATGTGATTGTGGCATATCCTTGTGAAGTTTTAAACTCTAAATCCTACATCAGGATGGCCCTTGGAAGCTGTAGGGATTGGGCCTTCCTCCTTTTAAAAGCAAAGTAGCCCTTGTGTGCACACTGCAGACCCCAGGCGTTTTGTGTGTGAGCATGAGATGCTTCCATGCCTGTTGTGATGCTCACACTGCCTGTGTGTCAATGCAGACACTTCCCTTGTTAAATACCAGGCTTGTTGTCTCTTATAGATAATATATTCTCTCTACTTTTATAGGCAATCTTCAAGCAATTGTAATACGTTCTGTTCGGCATTAAGTACTTTAATGATTGTGTCTGAAAGCTTGTAAACAAAGTTAAAGCTCTCGCTGTAACTAATGTATTTCTTATCTCAGTACAATGGAGTACTGAGGGCCTTTCCCTTGTAGGTGGAATTCAGATGAGGACCAGGTTCGTGATTGAGGCAGTTACCACATGAGAGCTCTTAACTGTCCTGCGTGAAAGGAGTGGGTCCTTGTAGCTTCCTCCTGCAGTCGTGTGTGTTGTGGCAGGGGCTGCCCAGCCTCTTGCTGGCTTCAGCAGGGGCCAGGGCTCCCCCGAGAGCAGCTCCCACCTCTGTAGGTGATCCCTGAAGGAGCAGAGTGTAGCTGGGGTGGTGTGGCACAGGCTCAGCGTCTGGTGTGGGCAGAGCACTTTCATCTGGCCCCAATCACCAGCGCTATGTTAATTAAAAAAGCCCTTTCATAACTATGTAAATTCTTGACTTCTGTCAACTTGTTTACAATCTGATCTTTAAATGCATTTTTAATTTCATCAAACAGCAATTAATCTACCCCCTGTTTAAATTTAAAATGATGCTTCTAGCCCCTTCTGCAATTTAAAAACAGCAGTTACCCTTTCAAGTAGGCATTCCAGTTTGCAAGTTGGCTGCATGTATTAGCATGCTGAATAACTTACTTTATTCTCAAGCTGAAATATGCTGAAATTCCCATTAAAACAGGTGACTTGTGTATTTCCTGAACATAAAGGGAAAATCCATCATCGTCACCCTGGTTTTGCGTGGGAGAACAGATCATAGTATATGCATGGGGTTGTTTTAATTCTTAACAAAGCATCCCTTCTTGACGAGGTTGCTTCTGTGTAGGAGCTGCCTGTGAACTCCTGAAGCCATTTCATGGACTCCAGAGCTCTTCTGTGCTTCTGCTGTTGGCTGCTGTCTGTAAGTGTCCCTCGGACAGTCACAGCCTCGCTCCTACCTTTGCATTTTCCCATCAAATTGGTGTTTTTTCCGCAAGGGGCATGTCCCGACCCATTGGGAGTTGCTGCAGCTCCATGATAAGAAGCGAGATGTAATCAAGTTCTTATGCTAAAGTAGCAAATTAGCATTTCGTATCAAAGGAGCACAGGCATGAATAAATTGAAGATGCTTGAGCCAAACCCACTGATGCCTATCTCAGCGTAGAACAAAAAGTGGCTAAGTACAGTCAACTTCTCTTTACTCTTTGCCACTCAGAGCACTATCTGAACACATCAATTAATATTTTCAGAAGAAGGCTTTATCCCAAGTGAAAACTATTTCATCTGCCTCAGAAGCTGTGCCACCAGCTATTACATTTTGTTTCTGGAGGGGATGGGGGCTGGGAGAGCAGGGGAGCAGAACAGGCTATCGAGGCTCCTGAGACAGGACAGCGGCGTTGGAGCGTTGTTTGCAGAAATACTTGAAGAGTTGATACACTTTGTTGTAGTTTGCTTTTGTCTTTCACTCTCTGGAACATCTTTTACAGATATACCAGTATCCTGCTGGCAGCTATTGTTAAATAAAATTATATTTTCACTACCAAGCAGATCTTTCTCTTCTTTCCCAAGCCTGCAGTTCTCGCCTGTGTAAGCTCTGACCTGACCGTGCTCTGCTGAACCACAGAGCAAAACTGTGCAGAAACTATAGTCTCAAGTTTTGGCTTTCTGGTTCTTCAGTGTAGCGTGATTTACGGCAGAAGATGTTGTTTCTATCATTCTAACCCATTGTTGTGCTCTTAAAGTTAAGAACTGTCTTAAAATTAAGCTGAGAGATAATGACTTCTCTACAGAAATGGAGTGTTTCATCCGCGTTTCCCACTGTCTTTGCTTTCAGGTATGTCTCTTAGTGGGTGTTAACCAGGTCCTAGGTCTGCAGAGCAAAGACCACCAGCCACTGGGGAAGTTTACTTCAAAACTTCCTGAGCGTTATCATGTCGATCTCTGTCTTCTGAGTATTTGAGGCGTACCTGGGGTCTGAGTTGTGGAATGCAGAAGACATTCCTGGAGCCTGTAATCTGGGATGCCATCATCTGGGTTTGAGTGTGTGCAGGAAGGTAACAGACGTGTTTGTAGCTAATCCAGCAATTAAACCCTTGGTAGGATTACGTACTGGTATCACTGTATGCTTTTACTGACTGTGGGGTTTGTGATCAAGGTGGGTTTTGCAGTCACCTTGCTGGAGTTTGGGCACATACTTCCACGCAACGCAATGGGGTGGACCTGAAGGTGGTCAAATGTGAAGAGCATGCTGAAAGGGAATGACGTTGAGCTGTGGAGAAGATGCCAGTCCTGCATGGCAAACACATTGTAGGATATGTGAAAAGTATTGTGTGTAATTATGATTTGCTGCAAGAGCTGCTTTTGCCTGGCTGGGAACCTTTATATGTTTGTTAGATTCTGTTCCTAAGACACCTCACTCAGATGACTGCTCGGTCTGCCATGGAAGGCTCCTCCTGGGTGTCCTAGCAAGAAACAACTGGATTTGGCCTTCAGTAGAAGCTGTGGAGCCCGCTTCCAAATGGTTCTGTGTAGCTGCTGACTGTAAGCAATGGGAAGAATGTAAAAGCTTGAGGGGACCTAGGTGAGGCTGAACGTTTCATCCTTGTTTCTGACCACTGCATTCGCCCTGTTCTCAGGGATAGCTCTGATCTGAATAACCTTGACTTGAATCCAGGTTTCATAGCTCTGCCTTACCCCTCCAAAAATGTGGCCACATTCCTGAGGAAAACTGATGTGGAGATTTGTAGGGACCTCCAGTGGTTTAGGATCTGGATCACCTGAACTGTGCGAAGCAGTTGATACCTGTTCACCTTGGCTGAGTGAGGGCTCCGTAAGGGCTGAGCACAGTGAGAGGGTTGCAATGACTCCTGTGAAGTGCTCTGCCTCTCTTCTCCCCTCTCCCAACCCAGAAGTTAAATACAAGTGATCATTTTCCTCCTGTTTGCTCTCTGCCCTATTCCATGTTAGTCTAATGGTAATACTGGAAGCTGCTGTTAGTCTCTGGTACCAAGCCAGGGGAGTCTGGTACCAAGCCAGGGGAGACTAAGTGATTTCGAGTGGCTGCTTCACCTTGAGATGTGTTTTTAATGGCACTAGCCTTGAAGTATTGGCACCCTTTTTGGAAGTACTGTTTTAGATACTCATCAGCTTATCTTTGTGACGTTTCACTATGAGGCTCCTAGAAACAAGCTAGAATTTGGTTAGCATAGTTCTGTGTTTCTACATAGGGTATTGGACACGGTTCGGATTGATCTGATGTGTCTTGGTTTGTTCCTTCAGCGCTTAGCTCACTTCATCAGAGCTCCAGTTCTCTTATCCCAAAGAGGCTAAAACATGCCATTTGCCAAAAGCTGCAGTATAAACTGTGCTGTGGAAATTCCAGGAACAGTTTTGTAATTACTTCCTCAACTGGGTTTTCTTACAAACAGCAGCACAAGGCAGCAGCACAAAGGCGGACGAGACCCTGACAGAGTATCATCTGTTGCGTACTTGCTGGTGTAGGAATAAACCAATTTGTCAGAGGGCAGCTGAGATTTTTACGGAAGGAAAAAGAACCCCCGACAGACGTTTGTGTTGAGAAAAGGAACACATTGGACGTGGTTGCCTGAGGGCTTTTGGACACTCATTGCAAGGAAGGTTGAGGATGAGCTGAATGTCTAAACATTTTTGCTGTCTTTGAAAGTCTCCAGGAGAAAGGGTGGATGTCGTGACTCATGAACCAAGAGTATGCTCCACTGAAGTGGTTCCCAAACTCTTCTCAGTGCAGCGCCTTGAATGGGCTTACTTGAAGCAGGGGATAGTGTTAACTGTGAATGGCCCATGAGAAGGTGAGTGACCTCTTAATCACAAATGTTCGGGAACTGCTGCTTGAGGCTTTACTTCCTTCACTGAATTCATCCTGCAAGAGCAAGATTCACCTTGAGCTGGAGAGCAGTTCACACCCAAACACTTGGGTTTGTAGTGGTCTCCTGCAGTCCATAGGCATTGGTGCTGAGACTCGGAGCAGTGTAATCTCTACTGAGCGAAGATGCAGCAAAGGTGCTTTCCGACCCTACTGATTCTGTGAGTCCAAAGCTCTTCGGTCTGGGTTAGCGTTTGTCCAGTCCTGCCAGAAGCATGTGTTGGCTGAGCCCCCTGAGGTGGTGATCACAGAGATGGGGGAGGTAGATCAGCATCAGGAGATCATTCCTGAACAGTGCTAACTGCAGGCAACGTAGAGCCCAGCTTTTAGCTGCATGTGAGAAATAAGAGGCAAGGGAACCCTGCTCCCTGCGGATCCTCCTGCGCCTGGCCTTGCTGAAGTCTCACGGCCGCTGCTGGATGGCTTCCAGAGCTGCAAAAAGAGAACTCATGATTCTCTGAGTCAAGAGAAGAGCTGCTGTGTTCTTGCCACCGGACAGAGAGATGAAAACGGTTGCTAAACAAAGATCAAACGTGAACTTTATAAATAAACAAACAAAATTGATGCTAAGGGACCTCTCAACTCCTTTGCCTGCGGCACAGGGCTTGGCAGGACCTAGGAGAATGACTTTGTCAGTTTGCACATGGAATTCTTATTTTAAAGAGCCTGATGAAAGTGATACTGCTGCTCTTAATGAGTTGGAAGTTTATGCTGGTTAAAACGGCCCTTTCTGCCCATGCCTGGGCTGAATGCAGGGTGGAGGAGAAAGCATTTGCGGTGCTGAGCTCTGCATGTAGAACATGGCCAAACTTTGGCTGCTGTGTGATGTGAAAAGCTGATGGTGCGGAGCTACTGTTGATAGTCCAACTCTTGAAGGCAGCAGGTTTATGGTGTGGTGAAGGGCAGCTCAGTCAGCAGCTGGCCTGATTAAGAAGCATTTTGCACCTCCCGATCCAGTCCTTCCCATTGGGAAGATGGACTGTGGGTTGCAGAAATGGGTTTGCTCAGTATCTCATGAGAAGTTGGTGGCAGCAATGGGAGCAGAACCCAGGTGCAGATACCCATTATTTCACCTTTTTTTCCCTTGCATCAGGTTTGAAGAGTGACATGAACTGGGAACAGGAGCTTGTTGGTCAGGCTCTTGCCCAGCATATAAACCTGACAATCCTGAATCCCTCTTCCCAGCATTAAGGATCTTCCATCCTTGACAGCGTCTGCTCCTGTTCCTCCTTCTGTTCAGTACCCCCGCTGCAGCCTTTGCTGTGTGATGCTTTAATCTGGATGTGGAGCTTGGCTGCAGCTGGCTCCTGGTTTTAGAACCGAGCAGCCCAGTCCAGATCCTGATCCTCCTCCTGAACAGCTCACTGCCCACAGCTGGAGTCTCCTTAGAGACCAAGTGGCTTTAACACAGCAGCAGAGCTGGGCCCTGTGACCAGTCCGCAGTCGAGCTGTTGCTCTGGAGCTGCAGTCACTGGAGGCTGCTTCTGGGGTGAGGTTCTGGTTGGGAAGAGTCTAGCGAGGAAGCAGGGTGGTCTGGACACTGGTTCCTTGGACTTGACTCTGGGGACCGTGCGATCGTGTCTTGTCTGTGTTGGGCAAGTTGTTCCCATTTGTAGTGTCTCGGTTTTGCTCTCTTGACAGGGGAATCATTTCCTTTCACAGATTTTGGTAGTGTTTTCCATCTGTAGCTACCACCGAGGAAACTCAAACTGGGAAGTATCACGGGCAGTCATCTCCCATTTGTCTGATGGAGGGCAGAGCTCAACTGATGCACTCACTGGCAGCAGAGCCAGCCCAAGCACATGTGTAGCTCCCGAGTCCCAGCGCTGCTGCACCTGGTCCTGTGTGCCATAGGGTGAGGGGGGAGCTGGGGGTGCTGCAGCACAGGGGGTGCTTGAGGACAAGGGCACGTGCCCTGAGGAAACGGGCTTGCTGAGCTCTGCTGGTGCCGTGACTCCTGTTGATCTGTGTACTGAGGTTACACCACCCTGACAAAGTTGTGCTGGGCTCGAACCGACGCTGTGGCTTGTAGCTGGGACTTTGCATTTGATCTGGAGGGGTTGATCTGTCTCCGTGCGCTCCGGCTGTGGCTGAGACAAAGCTGAATGATGAAGCTTGTGCTGCTTTTCTTGTCATTCGGGGCACTTGGACAACTTGAGCTGCTGGTTGCATGCTGGTGGCGTTGGCTGTGACAAGCGAGCGTGGGAAGCCAGGATGCACCGTGCAAGGACATGGGATAGGGAAATGCCACGAGCCTTTACAGCTCCGGCTTGTCTGTGTGGTTATAAGGTGTAGGCAGGCATATGCTGCTTCAGCTACTTCTTGGTTTTAATCTCCTCGGGCAGTATTTCTTTTAGGGACTGGGAGTTCCCGTAGTTTGTGTTCGGGGTTTGCTGTTTTTAAGGCAGCGTTGGCTTTTCATCTCACTGCACCCACTCAGCAGTAAAGGACGCACAACGGCACGTTCACTGCGGCGGGTTGGTGGGTTTGTAGTGTTCGGTGGGAGACGATTCAAGGGGTACGACTGATTTCAGAGCTTTTCGTGGACGTGGAGCCAGAGGCAGCTCTGCAGTAAAGCTGCTGTGGGCAGGAGTGTGAAATAATGCTGCTGTACCCAGTGGGTGAATTCCCTGCTGGGATCCT